CGCCGGAAATTCCAAATGCTTTAAAACGGAGAACAGGAATTGCCACCGAACCCTATCAAATGCCTTTTCGGCATCGATAGACACTATCAGGGTGGGTGTCCTGGTGATCTCTTGTTTCCATATCAGGTCGACATTCCTCCTAGTATTTTCAAATAATTGTCTCCCTTGGATAAAACCTACTTGGTCTGGATGTATAAGTGAGGCCAGCAACGGATTCAATCTATCCGCCTGTACTTTCGCTAGGATCTTCATGTCATGGTTAATGAGCGAAATAGGCCTATAATTCGTGGGCTGGAGCAGGTCCTTTCCGGGTTTAGGTAGTAGTACGATCGTAGCCATGGTCATGTCAGGATCTAAATTCCCGCCCTGCCTCAGGTAGGCAAAAAGCTTCACCAAGCGCGGCGTAAGCTCCTCCCTGTAAGTCTTGTAATATGTGCCATCGAACCCATCTGGTCCCGGCGCTTTGTTGCCCTTCAGGCCTGAGATGGCCCTGTCCACTTCTTCTTCAGTGATTTCTGCTGCTAAACTGTACGCCATATCCCTACTTAGTTTCTTCAGACCCAAAGGCTCTAGATACTGCAGGATATGTTCCTCCTCTTGTTCAGGCCGGGTACCCCCTGTCGGGGTGTGGTGATATAATTGTTTATAGTAATCCTTAAAAATCTCAGCTATCTCCGTCGGCTTTGATTTCGTCGTGCCATCCGGGTGTCGTATGGCCGTGATATGGGACCGTTCCTGTCGGGGTCGTAGTGTCCTGGCCAGAAGTGTGTCCATCTTGTTTGCTTTTTCAAAGTAGGTACGTTTTGACCACACCATGGACCTGGCCGTATCGTCTAGCAATAGAGTACGAATGTTTCTCCTCACTGCTTCTAATTGTCTGTAGAGCTCCTCGGTCGGGGTCGTTTGGTGTTTTAATTCAAGGGTTCGTAGTTGTCCCAGCATAGTCTCTAGCTGTTGATGTTTCAGTTTCTTCTTTCTGGTGGCTATCTTGATCAGTGTCCCTCTCACTACAGCCTTGTGTGCCGCCCATATTGTACTCGCCGTCACGTCTGGGGTGTCGTTCGTACCAAAGTAATCTATCAACTCTTTCCTAACCTGTGCCACCACTTCAGGATCCCGAAGTAATGATGTATTGAGCCTCCATGTCCACGGTGAGGCTGCACATAAATTGCCCAGCGTGATGGAGACGTCTGCATGGTCCGACCAAGATATGTTACCAACTTGTGAGCCTACAGTGCGTGAAAGACCTGCAGCATTCGTGAGGAATAGGTCGATCCTGGAATACGTACCATGTGGAGCCGAATAAAAAGTGTAGTCCTTGGTACTCGGATGATGAGCCCTCCAAATGTCTATCAGTCCCGTAGTAGCAATGAAGTTTCTGAGTAACTGGTCTTATCTGCCTCTCCCTTGGGACCTTGGTGTTCCATCTTTAGAGCTCCTGTCCATAGCAGGGCACGGGGCCGCGTTAAAGTCCCCCCCCATGACAACTATGCCGTGTGGCAACGCTGATATTTTATCCTGCAATGTGTGCCAGAAGGTGGAGTCCGGTTGGTTCGGTGCATAGATATTCAGCAGATGCATGGTATGGGACTGTAAGGTTCCGGATACGATGACGTAGCGGCCATCTGGGTCTATGTCTTGGGAGGTCATTCGGAAGGGACAGCTATTGCTAACGAGGATAGCTACTCCATTACGTTTGCGATGGGACCTCGCTTCGTATGTCCCTGCGTATGTGCGGTCACGTAGCCTGAACTTAGCTTGTTTAGGAATGTGAGTTTCCTGCAGATAAGCGATATCCGACTTCATTCTCTTCAACTCTCTGAACATTAGACGGTGCTTTTTCGGGCCGTTAAGGCCTTTAACATTCAACGTAGTGATCTTAATCTCCATTGCGTGGAGTGTCCCTCCCTACTGCTTAAATCTGCGACTATAGCTTGTCCGTCGCTCTGCAAGCCCTTGTCTATCATGTCATTTGGATTAGGCGTCCTGACTATGGTATCCTCGTTCGACATTGACGGACCAGGGTCAGGCCTAAAGCCCACTACTTCGGAGAGTACTCCCCCACCCCCTAGATAAGGAAAGAAAAGGAAAGAAAAGAGAAAGGTAAACTGGAAATGAGTAAAGGGCATCGGTAGATGCCCGAGAGATCTGGTCTTACCTGTCGCCAGATTCACGTGGGGAGCACGTTCCCACTTCTCCTCTGTAATCGCGCTGGGAGGAGCTGTGGAGCTCAGAGCCCTGTCTCCCACACGCCCTCTCATATCTTGAGTGACCACTAAATGCTCGTCAAAAGAGCCATACCAAAACTTCCATCCCCTACCCCACCGCTTTCAGCATCCCACTGCATCCATACGTGTCGGCCCATGACCACGCAACTGGGTCCCTACTCACTATGTACACTTTATCCCCTTAGGTTAGGGTTGCGGGACTATACCCGGTTATTGACAGCCACATAAGCCGTCACACACTAGGGCCACACTGTGGGACTTTTTTTTTTTTTATGAGTATTATTTAACAACCTCTTGTATGAGAGGTTTGAAAACTGACTGTCGGCCGGTGGGCAAGTAATGTCAGGACAAGACAGTTCAGCATAATATAACCTCTATAATAGCTTAATGAATCAACAAAGAATTTATAATGAAGTGTTTAAAGTGGCATAGCCTTAACAGAACAATTACTGAAGCGAGTGAAAGAGTAGCAGATTTAAAATAATTGACAGTTTAAAACACATCTGTAGTTTAATTAATAGAGCTTTGAGAGTACAATTGCAAAAATACATAGTTAGCCAAATATTTAATGAATGATACCAACCCATATTGAACATAGCCACAAGGTGGCGATATTTAGCCATACATACTGACTGAATGGTATACTAACAGTTAAACCAGCCTACATGCGGGGAAAAGCAGTGTTTGGAATGAAACAGATGACTGCAGCCCTGAATAGGGAGATGTCATGTAACAAGAGCACACGTAAGTATTGAAGCGGTACCGTGAAGCCGGTATGCTGCAAGTATGAGAGGGGACCCTATATGCGCCATGCCCCCTGTGAGTACGTGGGTGGTCTTTTTTGTGTACCGCTCGTTTGCTGGGTAGGCTGAGGGGCGAAGGGGTTCCCTATCCAATGTTACATGTGGCGTTGGATGCGCCTGTGTGATCACTTACTGTTTTAACCGGGGAGACAGCCTCGTGGAGCGGTAGACTGGCCGAAACTCGGTTTGATGTGCCTTTCTCACCCGCTGTCGCGTCTGGATCACGTGGACCGGAAGTAGAACCAGGCACTTCCGGGAACGTTTATGACAGGTAAGCTGGGCTTGTTGTGGTTTATATAGGGAAAGATGTACCTCCCACAATTCCAGGCCAAGCCTTCTATATATGGAAGGCGGGGCCTGAAGCTGTGGGAGGGGCTTGGTTCCCCTTCTTAAGGAGCACCAGCCCTTCCCTCACTACCGTCATAGGTCTGGTGAGTTGTGGAGAGTGATCGTCACTTCTGGTTCGATCCAAGCTCCATTTTACTTACCTGCATCTCGTGGGCGGCTTCCCGGGTCCCAACGGTTCCTGTTCCTCCGGTTTCGGCTGTTTGACTTTGGAATCAGACAAGTGGTTTCACGGGGCTTCTGATGTCGGCATCCTGTCACAAAATCGTAAGTTCTACGGCCGTCGCAATAGCCGCACGGCTGATTACGTCATCAGGGGTCGACGGGCTCACGCATTGTAGCACATTTCGGGTCGCATTTAGGCAAATGCTTGCTTTTACAAGGCTAATTTGGGTAATGGGGTCTGACAAAACGTTCAGGTATGGCATACAAATTCAGTATAACAATCGGGAACAGGGTTCATTCGGTTGGGGCAGTCTTCACGTATCCTGGCTTTCTTATTGCCGTTTGGTTGCCGAAACACTGTCCTATATTAGATGGTAAGATATTATATATGTGGTAGGGCGACCTCCGGTGTCTGAATCATTATAGCTGGTGATTTTATTTTCTTGTTGCAAGCACACTTTTCTGCTGTATTAGGTTTAAGATGTCTGACTGACCCCTGGTGGTCACAAGGGTTATGGCTTGTGGTATAAATTATATTTAAGGTTTCTTGGCATTGTCACAACATAGATGAAGATATATGTCATAACAACGCTACTGGTACTAATGGTCTGGCTGGTAGGGGGGAATTGGCAGCAGTAGGTTTGTGGCACTTATATCCATGTTCGGATATATTTCTTAAAATAATTCCGGTGGTCAGGAGGGTGGTTACAAGAAGTGTGATACCTTGGCTTACTGTGTTTACGTTCCTGTCTCTAGTTCATCCATATCTAAGCACGTACCTTATATGTACCCATCTAGGAGTATCACATGTTCTGCAGTTGTGTACAGGGCAGATATTCAGGTTTGGGTGATTTGTAGCATTTCAGTGATTATGGACCTCTTATGTTTCAGTATCAACAGCATCCACAGTGTGCTGCTACTCTACCAACTTTTCACCTGCTATAGGTCAGTAATCACGATTAATTATCCTCTCATGGTCTCGCGAGGCCTGGGTACTTATGTGTTTTTTTTCTGTATTACTAGGTGTAGGCCATCCTTGCTCCTTTGGAGTATTTGGTTTGTCTCCTACTGTTGGCAGGGGGAATGATGGGTACATATTGATATAACCCTGAAAATTCACAATTACTCTTGTAGGTTACTACAGATCGCCTGTATCACCTTATCCTACTACCTTTCAATTTGCTCATCAGGTACGTCATGTTTCTCTCTATAATTCTCCCATCCTCCCTACCCTTTTCTGGTTCATAGTACAGGTATATACTGGCATATAAAATAGGAGCCTCAAGGTATGATAATTCCTTGGTATGGAAAAGAGATAAGAGCCAAATATAGTGCTCACTGTATGTATGATTAAGATAAATTTAAAATGAAGAAATAAAAGTACTCAATATTGCCAGTTGATAAAGCCCTGTGTGGCGAAACGCGTTTTGGCTAATTTTTATATTTTATACTGTATTAATAAAGGAATATTGGCTTTTTTACTATACATTTGCCATATACCTTTTATTTCATATTTTATATTTTTCTTTTCACCTGGTCATATATTACCTTGGAGTCTACACCTGCCCAAGAATCCTAGGTGGGGATAGTACCACCTACGTGATTATATTGAGCAGTATATCCTGCTCATCCAAATGTGAGTACTTTTATTTCTTCATTTTAAATTTATCTTAATCATACATACAGTGAGCACTATATTTGGCTCTTATCTCTTTTCCATACCGAGGAATTATCATCACCCATATCCCACAAGTGGGGGACAGACGCCACTGAATGCCAATTATACTTGAGCTAGTTTATGCTCTTGAATAGGTGAGTGAATTACCTCCCTATTTTCTATCCAATTTCTACTTATCAGTATACAGTCTGCACTATTGGATTGTCTCTGTTTGCTTATTTCTATGTTCATCACCGAGTCAAGATTTCTCCAAGACTAGAGGACCCAGTTTCCTATTGGATATATTATCCATCAAAGTCTCCACATACCTATTGGAACCTATAAGAAGTCTACCAAGTATTGGGACTATTATTTATACACTCGTTTTATTTACGTTTTTAGTGTATGTGAGTACATTATATTCATTTATTTTCATTTATATTCCTTGTAGCACGACCTATTATTATTTTTGTCCCGACAGGATTGACCTACTTCTCCAGAAAGAAATTGACCAAGTGTTTTTAATTGGCCCTTTCGACTCCCCGCCTTTCGCGGTTTGGAGAACTAACCCCATAGGACTGGTCACGAGTAAATCCTCCAATAAGCAAAGGTTGATTCTTTACCCCTCTGCTCCCCATGCATCACCTACCCCAAGTCTTAACTCACTTATACCATCTGAGGAATTTTCTCTCCAATATGCTACCATAGATAATGCCATCACTGCCATCCTCTCGACTGGGGTGGGGGCATGGCTTAGCAAAACGGATATAGTGAACTCTTTTAAGTTACTCCCTATCCATCCGTCCCTGTGGCATTTACATGGTGTTAAGTGGCATGGTTCATATTATGTTTTCACGCATCTCACGTTTGGTTCTAAGAGCAGCCCCAGACTTTTTGATATATTTGCTGAGATGTTGTGCTGGATGCTGCTTAACATCTGTAAATGCCCCACCGTTATCCATTACCTGGATGATTTTCTGTCCGTAGAAAGTAACCTGTTACCTTCCAGTAGCCTCCTTTCTAGAATACGACTGTTCACACAACTAGGAGTACCTTTTTCACCAACAAAGACGGAAGGTCCGGATACGATCATCAACTTTTTGGGCGCTGTGCTGGACTCTGTGCATATGCAGGCTAGCCTCCCCGGGGAAAAGATTGAATTTTGTGATTAAATTTATTCCACAAGGGAGAGCGTTCATATCCTGATTATTTAGCTTATTTCCCCTATGACAATCTGATTCCTCCTGCATTACATTAGATGTACATGCCACCGCTGACCTACACATGTGGAGGGAATTCTTGCTGCACTGGAATGGGAAAAGCATTTTCATTCCAGCATGGACGGATAGGTCTCTGTCTGTATGGACGGATGCCGTGGCCACTTCTGGATTTGCCGCAATTTTTGGCAATGAATGGATGTGGGGCAAATGGCCTGGGGAAATTACTGAGAACCCCGAGTTCAAGGACACCTCTGCGTTATTTGAGCTTTACCCAATTGTGGCAGCAGCAGTTAAATGGGGAGCTTGCTGGTCTGGGAATACGGTGCGTTGCTTCTCGGACAGCATGGCAACATGCCATATTGTAAACAAGGGACGTTCCTCTTCCCTGGCCATCATGCGATTTATGAAGACTCTCACGTGGCTAGCTGCAAAACACAGTTTTTTCTTAACTTGCATACATGTGCCTGGGGTTCTGAATATTGCTGCTGATCATTTATCGCGATCTCGATTTCAGGAGTTCTGGGCGGGACTACCAACAGCTACCCTGATACCAACTCTGGTACCGTGGTGGCAGGAGATGGTTTGGGACTAAAGGAACTACTCACTCACGGGCATCAACCCTCTTAACTTGGTCTTTCTGTTAACACCAGGAAGGCATATGGCAGGGCTTTTCATATTTTTAATAGATTCTTGCTGGACTTTAATATCAGAGACAAATTTTCCATGGAAACAAACAAATGATTGCGTTCATTTCCTTTTGCCACCTTCACCTAACACTATCGTTCAACACCATTAAATTATATATCACCGGTATTCAACATCACATCCTCACCACCTAGCCTAATAGACAACGCTTCCTGTCATCTTACCAGGTAAAGGCCATACTTAAAGGTATCAGGGACTCCACCCCTACACCCACACCATCCAGATTATCCATCCACGATCTCCTGTTCCAGTCACTGTCAAACCTGTTAGACACCTCACGGTTCGAAACTCTAATCAAGTCATGAAAACAGCCATCTATTTAGCTTTTTACGATTTTCTTTGGCCCAAAGAATTTACCACCACTAACTACAACACCCCCAAATTCATCACAATGTCAAACCTGATAAAATCCCTATTTACTGTCCCTGCACCACACAAAAACTAGTGCCAAAGGACAGATGGTCACTATTACCTATTACCCCACTAGTAATAAATGGTGCCCTGTGGAAGTTTTCGACCAATACCTCTCCTCCTTTGTAATGGCTCCAACACAACCACTGCTAGCCTTAAACGGTAATATGCTCACTACGAGTAAGTTCATGCTCTATGTAAGAATGTTGTTGGTTCGGTTAGGCTTGAACCCTGCTGAATATTCAGGTCACTCATTTAGAATAGAAGCAGCTACTACCGCTTCTAAAAGGAATATCCCTGCGCACATCATTAAAATATTAGGCCGGTGGAGGTCCACGGCTTACACCAGATACATTCCTCAGCCAGTACAAGAGGTGTGCCTAGCATTTAAGAATATGATAATGTGATATACTATGGTGTATTGTAGGCTGAATAAACTGGTTACATCTTTTTGCCCTCTTTTATTTCAGGCCAACTACCTCGTCAGTTCCGACACACCACAACTGACCCTTCCATCCCATGTTTGTGTTATGTTACTAATGCTACAGCCCTTCCCTCACTATCGTCTTAGGTCTGGTGAGTTGTCCCACCCACCACACCTCCTTTTATAAGCATTTAATAAAGTAGGCCCTCTTTTATTTCAGGCCTTCTACCTCGTCAGATCTGGCACACCACAACTGATCTTTCCCCTATATATATATATGTATCTTCTTTTCATATATTTATATATTCCTGATTTACATTTCTTCTTTTTTTATAAAGGTATTATGTGTTATGAAATAAAATGTATTTGGTTGTCCATGTTCTGCGTTTTATAGACAACCATCTGGTAACATTTGACATCAGCATACCCCATACCCAAATCTCAACACTCTCAACTCTCCAATCTCACAGAAACCTCAACTGCCTTGATCTCCAGCATTTCTCCACCAAACTCCAAACTCTCCTTTTACCCATCTCAAATATAACTTGCCCTAACTCTGCAACCTCACTCTACAACTCAACTCTCTCCTCTCAACTCAAAATCATGGCACCTCCAACAATTAAACGCAGCAAGCTCCCCCAATTACAACCCTGGCACACCAAGCTGACCCGTTACCTCCAAATATGTTCTAGAACTGCTAAATGCTGCTAGAGAAAGTCTCACTTTGCATCTGATTTCCTGCACTATAAATTTATGTTGCTCTGATACAGCCTGGCTCTTTCCGCTGCAAAAGTAAATTCTTCGCCAATTACTCTCCCTCCTTCTACCACCTTGTCCACCACAAACTTTGCATCTCACTTCACTGAGATCGCTACATTCAGAGATGAGATCTCTAATTTCTATCCTTCCCCTACCAATATATCACCTAACCCCACTCCCTCCACCATTCTACAATCATTCACATCTGCTACAGCAGAAGAGGTTTCTGCTCTGCTCCGGTCCTCCTGACCCACCACCTGTTCCCCCGATTATATTCCCTCGTATCTCATCCGCACTTTGTCTCCCTCTCTTGCTCTTCCTCTCACTATAACTTTCAATCTCTCCATTTCCTCTGGCACATTTCCCTCGCCCAGGGGCGGGCTGGGCCGGGGGGCAGGGAGGCAATTGCCCCCCAGGCCGCCCTAAATTCCTGTAAGGCCGGGCGCGGCGGGCCGGCCCTTTAAATACTGCAGCCGCCTAAGCGCTCTGTTAAGAGCCTCAGGCGGCTGCAGCTTCTCCCCTCCCCTCCCCTGTAGCGTGGCCGAGCTGCACTCCGGTCCGCGGTGGCCGGCCGGCCGGAGTGATAAGAAGGTGCACACTGAGTGTGCACTTCCTGTCAGTCCGGCCGGTTACAGGAAACAGAAACTCCTGTTCCGCGCGGAGTTTCTGTTTCCTGTTACCGACCGGACTGACAGGAAGTGCACACTGAGTGTGCACCTTCCTATCACTCCGGCCGGCCGGCCACCGCGGACCGGAGTGCTGCTCGGCCACGCTACAGGGGAGGGGGTAAGAAGAGAGGGAGGAGGGGAGGGGGTAAGAAGAGGGGAGGGAGGGGAATAAGAAGAGGGGGGAATAAGAAGGGGGGATAAGAAGAGGGGAGGGGGGATAAAGAGGAGAGGGGAATAAGAAGAGGGGAGGGGG